AGGTATCTCTGAAGTGAACTTGAACCTCCAACTTTCTCGTTAGTAATCAAGTATATTAACCATATACACCACCCAGGGATAGAGCCTTGGGCCATTGCAAGCTTTCTCATTGCAGAAGCCCATGAAGCCAACCATGCCTCTACAATCACAGGGGAAGCTGAAGGAAAGAAAGTCAGAGTAGCTTCCAGCAAAGATCTCTATTTAAAGCATCAGAGTGGCCGGTGAAAGATGCTATGATGCTCCAGAATCTCTGCAAATTATTCACCATCCCACACCACAGTAGGGATATTGTTGGTTGTTCAAACTTCAAGAAGAAGCTGGAAATCATATTTACACATGGACTGTATTACATGGAGAAACTTCCATAGAATCATGGCTTTTCTTCCATTTTCTTAATCTGTAATTCAGAAATCTGTCTGTCTTTGGTAGAACCAACCAACCAACCAACCAATAAATATGGGGACAGGCTCTCCATGGCTTTTCTGCCAGGTAGACAAGATCTTTGGAAGGGGTAAGAAGTGCAACCAGAGCACTCCTTAGAGCAAGGATATGAAACATTGTCTCATATACTTTAGGCATGTTAGGCATGTTATCAGGAGGAGGTTGGCCTTGGAAAAAGACATGAGGGTGGGAAAGTAGAAGGTCAGTGAAAGGGAGGAAACTCTCAGAAAGATGTCCAGTGACAATCATGATGAACTTGAGCACAATGCATATCCTGACTATGATGCAGGATAGGACAAGGTTTACGTGTTTTGTTCATATCATAGGATCGCTATGAGTCATAGTCGACTTCACAGCACCATCAACAGTTATTCGTGCTAACTTTACAGTAGATAATTACATACTTGGACTGAGGATTGTTGCATTTATATTCTAGTACTTTCATATTACTTTTTTTGTTTTGTCTTTGATGTTAATTTTCTCTGGTTTCATGCAGCACTAATAAACAACTTCAGCAAAATTTTGGTTCCTAGAGGCATTTTTGCGAAAGACTTTTATAATTAAGAATTTTTCCACTTCTTATACAGCAGAAAAGCTACTTAGTGCAACCTTGTTATGTTAATTTTCTATTGTTGAGCAGTTTAAATGGCATGGTGATGTTTTTAATGACATTGGTCATAAAGAGGACGATTACATATAAAATGGACAATGTAAAGATTTTTAGAAGGTTGATTGATTGTGTATATTTGATAGCTGTGGCATGATGGTAAGTATCCAAATAAAAATTAAAATCATAGTTAGCTATACAGATGTTTTACATATAGAGCCAAACATCTGGCGATGCAAAAACATCTGGATGGCTGACTGGACTTTTCACTTCTCCTCCACTGTTGGCACCATGCACACACAGAGCAAGTCACTTTTGTCTATATCAGTAGCAATTATAAAGTATAATGAGAATCATATGGCTAAATAAAATGAGGACTAATGGAAATAAAATCATTCTGAAAATTAGTAGCTTTTTTTTTTGCAAAAGAAAAACCACATTTTGGTTGAACTATTTCAACACAGTTTTGTATATGATCAGAGCTGCTTTAAAACTAAAGCCTTTGAACATGTAAGTATAGCTGTAATGTTTAATCATTCTTGTAAAGTATTTCTTAAATATAAGAAAATAATCTGTTCTTTGTTGGATTCAAATCCAGATTAATATACTAGATATTTTTTAAATTTTTCAAGATAAAATTTAGAAACAAGTTAAATTTTAAACAGACTGGCTTTAAAAACAATAATTATAACAAAACCACTGCCTTTGAGTCAATGACAACTCATAGGGACCCATTATTGGATTTCTAAGGCTGTAAATACTTTTTCCCTGGAACAGCTGGCGGATGCAAATTACCAACCATATGATTTGCACACTGCACCACCAAGTTTCCATAGTTTGGCCTTATATGTTTCTAATTTCTAGTAGAGAGCTCTGGTGGCCTAATGGAAAGAAACTACGCTGCAATCCTGAAGACATGTGGTTCAAATTCACCAGTTCTTTCATGGGAGAAGGATGGGCAATTGCCTCCCACGAGATTAAACTGCCTCTGAAAACCTACTGGTAGATAAGCTATAGGTTAGTTCTTACTTGATGATATGTAAATACATATGATTAAATACAAACGATTAAATACACCAAAGTATACTATCTTATATTAAAATTGTTAAAGAGAAATTATTACGTTTTCATTCACAAACATTTATTATGTTATACAAACCCTTTTCTGAGAACTTTAGGGCACACTTAATCATGCTGTTGTTTTTATGTGCCACTTGAGTCAGAACCAACTTCTAGTAGGTTGGAACCAATTCACTCTAGCAGGTTTTCAGAGACTATAAATCACACAGATGATGTCCTATCTTTCTCCTGAGGAGCAGCACATGGATTCAAACCATCTACCTTTGAGTTGGCAATACCACACTTTACCCACTAGGCCATATAATAACAATAATAATCCTATGAAGTTGTTATGATAATTGTCTGTATTTTTCTGGTGTGAAAATGAAAATATGGAGCAGCTAAGAAGCTGTACTTTAAGTCACCCAGCTCACAAGGAGCTGTGACAAGATATTAATCTAGGCAGTCCATCTTTGAAGTGTGTGAATTTTTAACTACTATTTCTATACAGCTTCATTTAAAAGAATTTTTAAAGCATTGACCAATCCTTTCTAGGCTTTCAATAAAAGTGCAGCTGACAATAACTTTGTTCTAAAAATGACTTATTTGTTTCCCCAGCACACAAAGGCACAAGCTGTTGTATGCAAGAATTCTTTGCAACTAACAGCTGCTCTGCTTGGTGCAACTTCCCAGTCACATGCCAAAGCGTTCATAACGATTACAATTAAGGAGGGAAATTATTTTGGGTAACATAACATTTGACAAGCACTTTGGTAAATAGAGAGTTGCCAAATAACTGAAAATATTAACACTTGGCTAAAACTTTTCACTTTTCTCTGCCGATTCTCTTGCAAGGAGTAAATTGTGAATTGGAAATGGATGAATGTTGGTCACAGCCCTGCCTAAATGGTGCAACCTGCCAGCATGCTCTGGGGCATTACCTGTGTGCCTGTGCCCCTGGATTTGTAGGGGACCACTGTGAGCTCAACCTGGATGAATGTGACAGTCAACCATGTCTCCATGGAGGACTCTGCATAGACGGAGACAACAGGTAAGTTTTTGGTCACGTGTGAGTGATTGAATCAGAGACAACTCACTGGTCAAGAACTATTATTACATTCAGCTCAATTGGGCAGTCTCATATTCTCTAGATTTTACACTTGAAGTGAACTTGTAACATTATTCAAAGTATACTTAAAAAAAAAAAAGCATCTTTCGTAGGTCATCTGCCCCACTTAAGAATTGCCAAATCACTCATTAGGCATTGCCAGATGGGCATACAGAGTTAAGTGCTTGACTGACACTAGAAGCTTGGAGGTTTGAGTCCACCCAAATGTAGCTCCGATAAAAGGCTTGGTAATCTGCTTTCCTAAGGGCACATTCATAAAAATCCTGTGTAGCCAGTTCTACTCTTACACATATAGGGTCATCTTGAGTAGGAATTAATTTGACAGTAAGTTGTTGAGTTGGGGTTTGGTTTTGGTCCCCCTCTCCCCATGTAGTAACTAAAGCCAAAATCAAATCCAAACAACTGCTATAGTGTCAATTTCCACTCTTAGTGATCTTCAACTAATTTCTCAACCCATAAATCTTTCAAAGAGTTGATTTCTCACTTTTCTGTTCAGAGCGGCAGGAGGTTCAAACTTCCTACCTTTCAGTTAGCAGTCCAGCAAATGCCATACTCTGTCACCAGAGCTCCTTTTAGAACCGCCTTAAAATATTACTTAAGATCCCAGTCTCCCAATTCTAGGAAATAATCTATTGTAGATATGAAAAAATGGAAAAATAAAGCTGGGGACTACTCTGTATGCAAATATAAGGCTGGATCAATATTGCAAGCATGTAAATCAAGTGGTGAAAAAAAATCCTTTAGGACTTTCCCATAAACATCATTGCAAAGGACAGTAGTATGTCTTGAATTTCCAGGCTTTTTTGAAAGCGAGATGAATACTTTTGAGGAAGCAGAATGAGCTGAAGTAGCTATTTGGAGGCAAAAATAACAATAAAATGTTATAACTTAATAAGATGATGATAAATTTGAGCAGTAATAATTCTATTTGCCTAACATGTTATCAAGAACTTTCTAGTATGGGTATTTGAATCACAAATACTGAATTACCAAATGCATGTAAGTTTTTAACAGCATTAGCGCTTACCACTATCTTGTTAGGATGGATATTAATGTTCTTATATTACATACAAAGCCAAACCAATTGCAATGTGGTTGAACAGATTTTTACCGATGTTGTTACGTGCTGTCAAGTTAATTACTACTTGTAGTGACCCTAGGAATCATAGATCTATACTCTGCCCTGTCTTGTACCATCTCCATCAACTCAGCTATCCTTGAGCCGACTGTTACAGTCACTGTGTAATCCATCTCATTAAGGGTCTTCTCTTTCACTGACTCTCCACTTTTCCAACTGTGATACCTTTTTCCAAAGACTGACTTAAACTAAGAACATGCTTCAAATATGTGAGATGAAGTTTCACTGTCCTTGTCTCTAAGGAACACCTTTGTTACACTTTCTCCAAGACATATCTGTTTGTTCTTTTGCTAATCCATGGGATATTTGGCACACTTCTCCCACACTACAGCTCAGAGGCCCCATTTTTTCTTCTGTCATCCTAGTCATTGTCCAACTTTTAGATGCACAGCAAGTAATTGAAAAAGACCATAACCTGGATCAGGCACACCTTGGTCTTTAAATCGACATTGTTCTTTAGTTCTTTAAGAGGTCCTGGAAAACATATTTCCCCAAGGCAAAATATCTTTTGATTTCTTCATTACTGGTACCACTGGTATGAATTGTGTATTCAAGCAAGATGAAATCATTAACAACTTCAGTCTTTTCTTCATCTGTCATGATGTTGCCTATTGGTCAAGTGGTAAGGATTCTTGACTTGTCAAGAATATATTATATAAATATGAATATATTATATAAATACGATATATCCAATGGTGAGACTTCATGATATTGAGATGTAATCCATGCTGAGGGCCTTGATTTTCTGCAGCATTTCAAATACTCTTCACTTTCAGCACAAAAGGTTGTTTCATCTCTACAATGCGATGAGTCTTCCTCCAATCCTGATGTGAACTTTTCTTCATGAAGCCGACCTTCTCAAATGATTTACTCAGCATTCAGATTGAACAGATATGGAGAAAAGATTAAACTCTGATGCACATCTTCCTTGATTTAAAACCATACAGTGTCCCCTCGCTCTGTTCAGGCAGCAGCTTTGTGGTCTAGGTTTAGGGTTTTCATGAGCATAATTAACTGTTCTGCGATTCCCATTCTTTTCAATATTAGCCATAATTTGTTGTGATCCACACACAGACAATCTTCTTTTATTCTCTGCTTTCATCCAAGATCCATCTGACATTAGCAGTGAAGACAGAATAAAACTTCCCCATAGGGTTTTCAAAGCTATAGGTCTTCACTGAAGGAGACTGTTGCATCTCTCTCCCAGTGAAAGGCAGGTTAATTCAAACTACTCGTCTTTTAATGAACAATTAAGAGCTTAAATATTTTGCCACTCATATTACAAAGAAGGAGTTTAAATTTAACTATATTTTGGTTATGTAACTGAAAAGTTGACAGTTTGAGATCCACAAGCTTTTCTGAAGGAGAAAAAAACAAATCTCTCCTCCCAGAAACATTTATTATAAACATTATAAACAGGTGTTCTTATATTGTAAATAAGGAGTCTAAAATTGAGGGGAGTTAGGTATTTCTTATAGGTTACTCAGTTAATTCCTTGCAAGAAAGAACCTTGAATCTGCTTTGATTTAATAAAAATTAAACTTAAAAAATAAAACAAATGCACTGTTGTTGAGTTAGTTCTGAATTCAGTGACCATCTGGTTTCTGAGGTCATAAATCTAAACAAGAGGAGACTGGTAATCTCTCAGGGAAGAGCAGCTGACAGATTCAAACTGTTAACTTTTACATTTTCAGCCAGTGTGCTATGCACTATGTCAGTAAGAAAATACAATTTTCCTCAAATCTATTTCTCAAGTGAACCAGATTCTAAAAGAGAGCAATGAATGGTGTATGTACTTCAAACACATACAGCAAAATAATATAAATTTAAATAAAGCAAAGCCACTGTTCATTTTTTCTGTAAATTATGAAACATAAATCTAAATTTTTGGAATGAGTCACTACAAAGACAAACAGGACCAGAATGAGAGTTTTTGCTTAAAAACACTGAAAAGGAAAAGAAGACACCTTCCACACATGCCCATTAATTTTTTAGTATCTGTAGAAAGTTTCAGGATCAAAATTACCTACATTTATTCAGTATATTCTGATGTGTGAGATACGGTGCTTTATTCTCTATATGGGCATTTAGTTATCCCATTAATTAAATACATGTCACTTATGACATGTGTGCAATTATATTTCACTTACAAATGAGCAAACTGAGGTAAACAATCAAGGTCCAATTATTTTTACATGAAGCCATATTAGAAATTCTTTGAAAAAGGCAGAAACATGTTTTCTAATAATAGGATATTACTATGACTTATACTATTTTCCTACCTATAAAGGTAATTCCCAGGGCTTTGATGTAAGTATTAAGTCTATACCATGTTGACAAACAGGTAAAGAGGACAGAGAGAGGAGAAGTTATCTCAATGTGGCCAAGAGTTGACATGAAAATTTCATTTTCCTTGGCAGATACAGCTGTAACTGCACAGGAAGTGGATTCACAGGGACACACTGTGAGACCTCGATGCCTCCCTGTTGGTCAGAACCCTGTCATAATAATGCCACATGTGAGAACAGTGTTGACAATTACACTTGTCACTGCTGGCCTGGTAAGTGACAAAATATCTTCCATCACTTTTCCTCTTAGTATAGAAACCAATTTTTTTGTATGAAAGAGAAACTAAACTTTCCTGTTGTTAAAGGTGTAAAACCAATTTACCTCCAGTTCTCATTTTGAATTTAATTGCATTTTTATGACCTTATATACTTGTGGCTATACTGTGGTTGTGTTGTTACGTACTGTTAAGCCAACTGGTTCACAGCACCTCTATGCCTGATCCTGTGCTATGTCAACCCATCCCATTGAGGGTCTTCCTCTCACTTGTTAACCCATCACCTTTGTAAGCATGGTGTCTTCTTCCAAGGACTGATAACATGCCCAAAATATGTAAGGTGATGTCTCACCATCCTTGCCTTTAAGGAACAACCTGGATACAATCCTTCCAAGATAGACTTGTTCTGTCCATGAGATATTCAATACTCTTTGCCAACACCCCAATTGAAAAGCAGGGATTCTTCTTTAGTCTTCATTATTCATTGTCCAGCTTTCATATATTTATAAAATAAATTAAAATATGGCTTTGGTCAGGCACACCTTAATCTTTAAACTGACACCCTTGCTTTTTAACACTGTAAAACTGCCCTTGACAGAATTATCCAATGACTGGCTCAAGACAGGGCAGGGTTCAGAGCTGCTGTACACAGGGTCGCTACGGGTTGAAGGCAACTCAATGGCACACAACAACAACAACTATAGGTCTTTTTCACTTATTTTTTGAATGAAAGTTGGTTGTTGTTGTTATGTGCCGTCAAGTCATCTGCGATTCATATAGTGACCCTACGTACGTTAGCTCTGAAGCCTGCCCTGTCCTGAGCCAGTGTTACTGACTCCAATATACCTTCTCCCATTGCCCTAGTTACTCTACCAATCCATCTTATCTGGGGTCTTCCTCTCCTGCACTGTCCCTCCACCCTTCTGAGCATGATGGCCTTCTCCAAGGATCAATCCCTCCTGGCCACATGCCCAAAATATTTGAGACAGAGCTTCAAAATACTAGCCTCCAAGGGGAAACATGGTTTTACCCTCTCCAAGACAGACCGATTTGTTTTCTTGGCAGTCCGTGGTATGTTCAAGACTCTTCTCCAGCACCACAAATTGAAGTGCATGGTATATTCAAGACAAAGCACATTTTTTCAGTTCATTTTGTATTGTCTTTCCCTTCACCCATCTTAATAAGAGATTAGTTAATCAATCATATTAATCAATTATAAGTGATTGCTGATAAAGAATTACTAAGTGATTGATAATAAAATAAATAATTGGTAGTTTTAATAACTATGTATTTATTAATTTTCTACTCTTTCTTCCTTCCTTTTTCTGGTAACTATACTAGAATGATTCTCCCTCTATGTAAAGCTTTCTTTAACTTTTATAATAGTGGTCTTATGCTTGCTGTGTGTCAGAGAGCTGAACAATGACTAAGGATGGCAGAAGAATTGATGCCTTCGAGTTGTGGTGATGGAGAAGAGTCTTGAATATACCGTGGACTACCAGCAGAACACATAGGTTTGTCTTGAAGAGGGTGAAACCAAGTTTCTTCTTGGAGGCTAAGAATTTGAAGTTCTGTCACACATATTTTGGACATGTAGCCAGGACAGATCCTAGGAGAAGAACATTATGCTCAGAAAGGTAGAAAGACAGTGCAGGAGGGGAAGATCATGGATAAGATGGACTTATAGAGTAATTACGGCAATGAGGGAAGGTGTGTCGGAGTCAGTGAGACTAGCTCAGAATTGAGTAACATTCAGAACTGTTGTACATAGGCTTACTATGAGTCTCAGATGACTCGAAAGCACATAACAACAACAGCAGAGTCACCTTAGAAGAAAGTTCTTTCTAGTTCCACAAATAAGCTGTTGAAAAGTCTATAGAATGATAATCACAGGGTGCTGTTACACTTTGGAGATTGTAATTAATAACATAAGACCGACCATATATGTATGGATGGTTAAATAGAAAGTCAATATATTCTTTAAACTTGCCCTGAAATTGTAATTTTAAAAAAGTGAAACAGAAGAAAATTCTATTAACCCAATTCTGCTCTGATACGTGGGAAGTAGAATCTGCATGAAGTGGGCTCATCTTAATTGCAACGATTTTAGTGACATAACGGAAGGAGTGAGAAACTAAAAATAAACACAAATAGATACATATATACTTTTCTATATTTTAAAATGAAAGAACAGTCTGGAAATCCCAGAACACTTAATTATGTTCATGTGAAAACTCTACCTAAACCCTTAAACTGCTATGTGAACAGAGCAAACAAACACTGTATGGTTTGAAATAAAGAAAAGTGTGTGTCAGGTCTGTATCCTTTTTCTGTACCTATTTAATCTGTATGCTGGTAAAAATCACTTGAGGGATTGAACTAAATGAGGAAGAATGTGGCATTAGGATTGGAGGAAGAACACTCAACAATCTGCATTATACAAATTATATAACTTTGTTTGCTGATATTTCAAAGGGCTTGAAACACTTGCTGCAGAAGATAAAAAATTACAGCCTTCAATATGGATTACACCTCTGCCCTAAGAAGCCAAAAATTCTCACCACAACATCTATAGGTAACAGCTTGATAGATGGAGAAAAGATTAAAGTTGTCAATTATTTCATCTTGCATGGATACACAATTCATACCATTAGTACCAACAGTTAAGAAATCAAAAGACATTTAGTACTGGGAAAATCTGCTGTCAAAGATCTCTCCAAGGGGTTGAGGAGCAACAATGTCAGTGTGAAGACTAAGGCCATGCACCTGATTAAAACCATGGTCTTTTCAATTACTTGCTATGCATCTGAAAGTTGGACAATAAATAAAGATGACAGAAATTGAATTGATGCCTTTGAGTTGTGATGTTAGAGAAGATTCCTAAATAGACTGCCCAAAGAATTAAACAAATAATGTGTTCAGAGAAAGTGCAACCAGGATGCAAGGAGGGTAAAATGTCATCTTACATATACTGAACATGTTATTAGGAGAGGCCTATCCTTAGAAAAAGATACCATGTTTTGGGAAGTTGGAGGGTCAGTCAAAAAGAGGAATACCCTCAAAAGATGGATTGAGGGTAATTGTAACTATGAACTCAACTATATCAGAAATGCTGAGGATGCACCAAGATGGAGCACAGTTCAGGTATATTCATAGCCTCCTTATAACTCATAATCAACTGAATTACACTTAACAAAACAAATATAAGCATATATGTGTGTATGTTGTTATTATAGGCTGTCGAGTTGTCCGACACTCATAGTGACTTTATGTACAATCACTCTGAACCCTGCCCCATTTTGAGCCAATTTCATTGTCTCCAAAACACCTACCTCTATTACCCCAGTTACTAAGTCAATCCATTGCATCCAAGGTCTTCCTCTCTTCCGAAGTCCCTCCATTTTCTAAGCATGATTTCCTTCTCTAAGGACTGGTCCTTGCTGGCAACATGCCCAAAGTATGTGAGATGGAGATTTAAAAATCTTCACTCCAGAGAACATCTCATTTTTACCCTCTCTGGGATAGACCTTCTCTTAAAAGTACATGGTTCAAAATGTTCTCCAGCACCACAACTAAAAGGCATAGATTCTTCTTCTATCATCATTCGTCATTGTTCAGCTCTCTGATGCATAACAAGTAATTGCAAAAACCATGGTTTGAATTGTTGCTCTTCAGTACTCTGGAGAGACCCTGACAGCAAATTTTCCTAATGTAATTTGTTGTTGTTGTTGTTTTTAAATTTGGGTTTGGTTGTTTTTTGTGTTTTTTTTTTTAATTTTCTGACTGCTGGTGCCAAAAATGTTGATTGTGGAACAAAGCATGCTAAAATTGTTAGCAATTTCAATCTCTTCTCCATCTTTCCTGATGCTATCAAGAGGCCCAGTGGTGAGAATGTTTGTTTCCTTGATGTTGATATGGCTATATATACATTTACACACACACACACACACACACACACACACACACACACACACGGAGCTCTTAGTGGGTAAGGAGTTGTATTACCAATCCAAATGAAGAGAGTTTGAATCCACAAGCTGCTAGGCAAGATAAAGATGGGCAATCCACTCCACTGCAATTAGAGCTTCTGAAACCCAGTAGGT